ATGCCACCATCTTTCCTGTGTTCTGAGCCTGGCTTTTCCTGGTAATCTTTAGGCTGATAAACATTTCTCATTTGGGGTAGCACCCTTCTCAAAGGTAGGAATTCTCTAAAAAGCTATAGCATGTTAGTGTTGCCTCTGAGAGCCGGAGATAAAAGCTCCTACGGAGGGTCTGTATGACATCTGGCTTTGTGAAGCTGGAGCTGAATAGGAGTCTGGTGACATTGTGGGGTATCTTCCTGTCTGCATTGCAATCCTAGGGCAGGGAAAGGTTCATACACCCACCCTTTCCCAAGCTCCTGTTAGCTTTTAGACCTCCTGGTACTTGCTGACACAAAACAGTCCCACCTGGACACAAACTAGTCCCTTCTTTTTTTTCTGACCACCCTTTCCCCTCTAAGAAAGAGGGCTACGTGCAGTGTTGGTACTTTTCTTTTCCTTACTACATCCCTGGATCTCTAGCATCTAGTTCCTGGCACTTTATGAATCTTCAGTAGCTTCATTGAGGAATGAATACATGAAAGACTCACCTATGGTCATGCACTGGATGTTTTGTCTTCATAGAGCTCCACTGTCTCATCCACCATGCTCCCCACCAGCCTCAGGGGACACCTGGAAGATGGAGCGTGTTACTGTTAGGAAGACTGTTTCTTTTGCTGCAATAACTATGGGACCTATTGTCTTCTTGGAATCATGCACACCTCACCCAGGGGGAACCTTTCTTCTCTGGAACCTTGAAGTATCTCAGGTTTCTCAGCACACAGAATCTGGCGTGCTCTTACAGTCCTGGGAGCACCTCCTTGTGTCCATTAGCATGTCCTGGGAAAAATATCTCTAAATTTAAGGTCATTCTTTATCTGCCTTCATCACCAGCACCTCATGCTGTGTGTATCTGGGGTCATGCTAAGCTTGTTTAAATTGAAAGCAACACAGTAACCTTATCATGCTGTTTGCCAGGCTATTCTCCGTGTTATTTGAAATTTTGCTTAAAATAACTTAGGCAGAAACTCCATGTGTTCTCTGGTGCCTGCTAGTGAGATCAGCATAGTGTCTACTTATTTCACATGATTTATCACAGATGCCCCAAACAAATTCAGCAGGCTACAGTGAGATGAAAAACCATGTGATATTCTGCAAATTCTCATGACCTGCTAATGGTGCTAAGTAACACACAGCTTTTCTGGAATGTGAAAAATAGTTCTAATTTAAAGTAAATGCCTTTGTAGTTCCACCAAACAGTTTCAGCATCTTGACTATTCAGATTTAACAAGAGAGGCTTATTGTTTTTGCCCAATCATTGTTTTTTTTCCACTTGGAGTCTGACTTTTATAATTATGCCACTATGGAAATTATAGGAGAAATTGCTGACTACTGAGTAGATAGGCAAGTAAATAGAGTATAGGTTTTCCTGTGAATAATGTGGATATTAGCTAGGTGATTGGTTTAACACAGGATCCTGTGCTAGACAAATAATGTACTGTGTTCACTTTTGGCATGAGATTAAATGGCCAGAGAGAAGCCTGTTTGGAGGTGTCTTACTTACTTTTTCCTATTGCTGAGACAAAATACTTGACACCCAAAGTTAAAGGGAAAAAGGTTTATTTGTCTCACAGTCTGTAGAGGTTTCAGTCCATATTCAGCTGGCTCCAAGGCAGGTGGCACATAGTAGACAGGGCTCACAGAGAAGAAACATTCATGGTGGGCAGAAGGTAGCAAAGCAAGAAGGAGAAGGGGTGCCTCTTTCTGTTCCTTATGTTGTATCCAGGCTACCGGGAATAGGAGAGTGCCAGACGAATCAGTGGACTGACTTAGTAATCACCCACCTTAATCCTAGCATTGCACCATGCATCAGTTATACACTCTAGGTCCAGCTACCTCTGAAAAAGCCCCACCTATAACTGCATGAAGCTTGGGGGTGTGCATCTAAACACAAGCCATAACAGGAGGCTACATGAGATTATTCTTTTGAAACACTTTGTAAATCCCAAAGTGGGATATAAATTGAAGCATATTATTATTTTGATTTTTCTGAGAATCCATCAAAAATGCATATGAGTAAATTTTGTTTACTTCATTCTATTGGTTACCTTTCTATTACTGGCACAAAGACATCTGATTTCCATAATTTAAAGGAGGAAGGATTTATTTTGGTTCCAGTCCATGGCTCCAAGGCAGAAGCATCATGAGTAAAGGGAATGGCAGAGCAAATCTGTTAACGTCATGGTGGCTAAAGCACAGATCACTAGAAGAGCCAATGGGGCGGGGGAGGTAGCAGGGACCAGGTATATTCCCCAAGGTCATGCTCCCATGACCTACCCAGAGACACCAAGAAATGTGCTTTACTGATCTTCTAAGTGTCCCTTGTGCCTGACAATCAAGACTGATAATCAGGATTGATATACATTAAATACATACAACACAAGCATAAATTATTTTTTGCTTTTGACTTATCTTTGTATTTGGTCTTTTTAAGAAGTGCAATTTAATTTTCTTACCCAAGGTGGAAATACCTAACCATGTAGATGGAAGTTTCTATCTTGTGGGATATCAGCAGCTGTATTATTTATTTGGTCTTCACCAGGGCAAAATGAAAAGTTCTGAACACTGTAAAAGTAATTCAAAATATGGAGTGAAGTTGTTAATGATTAACTTTTGGGTCTAATATTGCATTGCTAACCAGTATTTTAAAGCATTATATTCTTGAATTCAGAGAGAGCTGTTATGAACACAAATAGATAGGTGTACTTTTCTCCTGGAATATTAAATTGTCATTCTTTCAATTTTGAAACTGATATATAATAGTCTGGAAAGCCACAGCTTAAAAGTTTTAGTTTGATCAGTCACAAATGTTTATATTTATTGTTTAGGTTTGGCATTCAGAATTCAATCACAATTGATTCTCTTCAAATTGACTGGTTTGTTGGGTGATGTGTAAAGAATATAGAATGGTATTATAACCTGTTATTTTTAGCTCTCAAATGTTACTCAGACTTCTTTTGTATTGTCTTCTCTGAATACTCACATGTTCGGTTACTCCCAAGGCTAATGAAGTTGTCTTGACTTGAAAATAGACAAAGTAGATGTTGTGCTTGTATCAACTTATCCTGGTGGGATGAACGACTTCTCTGCCTCACCACATGTTCACCTTCAGCGGTAGAGGCGCCTAACCTAGCAAACTGCTTCCCTCACTTGTGTTAATCCTTAAGCTGTAAGTCTGCTGCTTAGTTTTGTTTCCTCCTTCCCCCGCTCCCTCCCTCCTTCCTTCGCTCTCTCCCTTCCTCCCTTCTTTCCTTCCTTAGTACCAAGAATTGAACTCAGGACCTCACTCTTGCCAGGCAAGTGCTGTGCCATTGAGCTATAGCCCCATCTTCTTTCCCTTCCCTTCCCTTCCCTTCCCTTCCCTTCCCTTTCCTTTCCTTTTCCTCTTCTTTTCCTCTTCTTTTTCTTTCCTTCTTTTTTAAATCTAGATTGAAACTTTCATATCAGCTACCTGCTAATTCTTAGCTTTTATGATTTTGTTGTTTTGTTTTCTGTACAATTCTTTTTCCTTAAGGGCAATTAAAAAGTAAACTGATATTTTACTGGGACTTTAAGAGGATGTAAATGAATGTGTTCCATCTAGCATCTTTCAGTAGAAGTCCTTTACATTTTTTCATTAAATAACTATTTCAGATTGCAGGTTGTTGCTGATCATTCTCTTCAGTGGCTGGGACAGTTGTCACTGCTGAGAGGAAATAATTTAGCAAAGCATGTATCACTTTCCATATTGTCACTGGGCCTTAACCATTGGTGGTTAGACTTAGTCACCAGGCTGCTGGATGCTGAGTAGCAGGTCCCCTCAGGCTTGTGTTTCAACTTGCTCAGCCTTCTTTACTTTTCCTTTCTCCCTGGAGGCCACTCCCTCTCTGTCGCTGGGGCTGGGCTTAAATCCTTGTTTTGCCTCATTATCTCCTTATTGTGGCTGACAGAGGAGTTTCATCACTCACAACACACAGGAAATGCAGGTTGCATAGTTGGTACCAGTTTTGAAACTGGAGGCTAAATTATATTCTTAAAACATACCACTGGGCCTTTTTCTTATCCGTTGATGGGGTTCTTTCCTGCTCTGATTCTTCTGCTTTTCTTGAATTAGTCTGGTTTGTTCCCAGTTTTTCTTCATTTGCTCTTCTGGATGAAGCAGGTGCACGTGAATATACACCTTGTAGTGGAAATAATGGGTTGTCTGCTGTGCCTGTTAGCTCTCTGACCAGGGATCAGTTTCCCTCTAGCATGGCCTTATGATGACCTTGTGTGTTGGTTTTAGAGTTTTTCCAGATGCTCTTTGCTGTCGTTGTAAGGAAGGTTTACGAAGGCCAGTTCTTGGCTCCACATGTAACCTGACCCCATCACTGCTCTACACCAGGCTGCAGGCAGGCACTAACTTGTGGCATCACTTTTTTTGTTGGAGAAAACAAAATATAAAAGATTCAAGTGTAGGTTTCTGCATTGTAGAAGCATTACCTATATTCCTGAGATGGAGAGAAGTGCTGAGATTAATCCTAACTCTTCCTGACAGTTCTTACTGTTTTATTTTTTTAAATTTTTTTTTTTTTTTAGTTTACATTTTTTTTTAACTTTAAAAATAAAAGAACAAACGGGGGAAACTATGTATATATGTATATACGGATAGTTAACATAGTTGTACTACTGGCTTATATCACTTTATTTAAAGGAACAGTTAATGATTAATTATTTGATCAATCTTCCCTGTCTATATTTGCTTTCCTGAGTAATCACTTTGAACTTACTATTTTAAAATGCAGTTTATCATTCACTTTATTGTATTTATTGTATGAGAATGTTGCCATGTTGAAGCAGTTATTACTTGTGATTTTTTTTCCCATAAAAAGCATCTTCTGCCTGGAGGAGCCACTCAGGAAGATTTTTTTTTTTTTCTTTTAAAACTGGAACTTTAGTTTTGATTAGTTTTAAAACTCTTATGGAGTGTCTCTCTTTTCCTAAAGTTGTGCCAAATCTCTGGAATGTTGATGGAGAAGTCACTGTCCCTGAACAGAAGCCGGGAGAAGTTGCTGAAGAGCTAGCAAGCTCCTATGAAAGGAAGCTCATTGAGGTAAGGACTCCCTGGGATTACTGTGTGTCTTTGTTCCAACTGTTAGCTGCTCTGGAGATTTTCAGGAGAAGGTCCAGCCTATTAAGTTAGGGTTGTTTGCAAAGGAACCAACCAATCCCATACCCTTCCACCTCTGGAACAAACACAACCAGAACAGAATAGCTCAGATAAAATCAGTATATGGATGAAAAAAGTAACAGTTGAGTATTTTACAATATAACTTAATTAGAAATATCTGTAATTTATGTTTTGAAAGTGGAAGTTAATTCATATTATACACATATCTGTGTCTTGGTTTATGTATGTATTGCCTGACAAAGATAGCATAAAAAGAAAAAAATTCTAAAAAAATATGCCCCCATCTACTTCAGTCACATGTTAAAGGAAGAATGCACATAAAAAGTAGAATTTAGGGTCTGGGGATGTAGCTCAGGGGCACAGCACCTGCCTGGCAGGCATGAGGCCCTGAGTTTGATTTCTGGTACAAAAAAAAAAGAAAAGAAAAAGTAGGGTTTAAAAGATGGTTTAATGTGAGGAAATTCATCCAGATAAGTCATCTCATTAAAGGAAAAGAAACATATTGTCTTGATAAATAACAAAAAATTGTTTGATAATGTTCACCACTGATATCTGATAAAATATTATTGATACATAAGGATTCAGGATATTTTGATATGATAAAGAGTTCTTATCTGAAACTGTTGTCACTATACTTCATGGTAAAGCTGGGAGGCTTAACTTTTCCCTAGTTGTGAGTGTATATTGTGATGGTTGCTTGGTGGTAGGGTTATGTGTGGCATCTGTATATATACACATGTACATACATACAGAAATTTACAAGTATACTTCCAGTACTTTTAAAATCTTCTACAGTGAATACATTTTTATTTTTATGACTAGGAAAACACCACTAATTGTTATGGAGACATGCCTGAATTAGATGGGCTTCTGAAGTAGGGTGTTGGAAAAGTAACGCCAAAGCTCATTTCTGATTAAGGTCACCATTTTCAAGGGCGTGTATTGTCTGTGTGTTAGTATGCTTTCTATTTCTATGACAAAATACCTGAGAAAATCACTGTAAAGGAAGAAAGGTTTAGCTCATCATTTCAGAGGTTTCAGTCCATGGTTGGCTGGCTGCATTGTTTGTGGGCCTACAGGGAGTCAGTACAGTACATCATGGGGGAGAGGGCATGGAAGAGCAGTCAAAAAACAGAGAGATTGAGAGGGGCCAGGAATAAGATATAGTCCCCTGGGCCACACCCTCAAGGTCCAACTTCTACAAGACTAGGCTTCACCTGCTACAGTTGCTGCCACCTCCTAATAGTCCCTACAGCTATGAATCCATCAGTGGATTAACCCACTGCTGAGGTTAGAGCCCTCATGATCCAGTCACTTCTGAACATTGCTGCATTTCAGACTACACCTTCAATACATGACTCTTTGAGGAAAATTTCATATCCAGACTATAACAGTCTGGTTCCTGAATTAACTCTTAAGGAAGGGAGATGCCGTAAGAAGCAATTTGATCTAACTCAGGTGAACTTACAAGGAGGCAAGCTTTGGCCTTTGCTAGAACAAGATGGTGAGGAAGAGCTAGAACTGGGTTGGGAAGTCTTTAGGACTGGGGAAACTGTCTTGTCCTATATGGCCTGTGCCTCTCACTGTGTCCAGTGAGGTGAGGAGACTCAGTGTTAGCTAGTGACAGTGCCAGAGTACCAGATTATCAGTTCATGCCCAAAAAGCCTGGGCCTTTAGCATTATGACAGCCTGTAGATTTTTCTCTCCCACTGGCTACCCAATCCCTGGAAGGCAGAGATTATGTCCTTTGCATGTCTGTATTTTCAGGAGCTATTTATTGGCAAGTGACAATATATTTTTAAGGACAGAAGGATAGGGGTGTCTCAGTTTATTGAATGAGTGAAGGGCTGATTAATCAGGGAAGGTGCAAGGGTTATCAGACTGAAAGTGGGAGGGAAGGCTGTATTTCTTCAGGAGACCAGGGGGAGAAGTGTGGTGGCAAGGTCTTGGCGTATGGGTGCCCATTAGAGAAAGCACCTCTTCTCCAGAGTCCACAGGGCACTAGCATTAGCGCCCTGAGCAGGGATCTCACCCTAGATGCAAGGTGCACAGGTGCTACGCTGCATGCCAGCTTTGAGAAGACAGCCACTGGCTATTAGACCCGCTGAGCAGGTGCCATTAGTTCATCAGATGGTGGTTGTTGGTTCATTTAGTGCTTATTGGATGTCTACTTTCTACACAGAGAAGACAAGGCATGAAGCCCTGTGCAGGGAAATAGTAGGCAGGTTAGAGAAACAGAAGGAGGTGCATAGGTTTGGAAGCGAATGAACGAGGGGAGAGAAGTGGTGCTGTGGACGGAAAGGTAGGTGGGTCAGACAATAGTGCCTTGGAGGTTGTGTGGTAGTCATGTCACTACCTGATTTACCGTGTGAAAGTCTCATAATCTCTCTTGGATAACTTCAGCTGGATATGAGGGGAAGATCAAGTCACACAGGGAGTTCATTGTCAGATCCCCTCGCCTTGCTGTTCTGTTAACCATGAGAGTTAAAGGTTAAGCTGCCAAATGAGGGAGCTAGTGGTTCAGGGGTAGTGATTTCCCTTGCCAGCCTGAAGCTTTCTTCCCTTCCTTCTGTAATTCTCCTAGCTGGGACCAGCAGAGCTGCCGGCTTTAGTCAGCAAGCTGAAAGCAATATGAGATTAAAGCAGAGATGTCCTCAAATGGTGTGTACTACCCTAGACTGATTTTCATTCTTTGGTTGCAGAGTGCAGTTCTGTTCTTTCATCTGTGACTAGCTTAGCATTTCATTACCCCAAGACATTTGCTGAACCTTCGTATTTGCATGAATGAAGTCCTTGCTATGTTCTTTGTGGTGCTGCTCTGTCATTTTGTTAATGGGTTGATTTTTACCATAGTAATAAACACTTGTGGGAGTAGAATAATGAAGAAGTGTGGGGAAAAAGCTGTTTGAAAAAGGGCAAAAGAAGAGACATTTTATTTTGAATGATATGGCTGCTTGGAATAGCCCAAGCATTGTGACTCACATCTGAATGTAAAAGGAATTTCTGAACATGCCTCCTCTAGGTGTCTGTCTTCCGAAGCATAAAAATCACCTCTACTGTCTGTGCATATGTACAACACATTTGTCTTTGATGGCTATAACCCAGTGTCCGGGCAGCTCAGAACTTGAACTCAATACCATACAGTCATTTGTTAATAGTGGGTAAGTTTTAAGTACCAGAGAGTAGAGGTAGAAAGAAAGATAGTTCTGCGGCTGGAGGTGTGGCTCTGTGGTGGAGCTTATCATGTGTGAAACTCTGTGTTCTATCCTCAGCACCAAAAAAAAAAGAAGAAATTCGGTTGGGCGAAATTTAATCTGGCAGGGGAAAACACCACTATGGAGGTCACTATAATCCTAGTAGCATCAAGTGCATACGGTTCTAAGCACTGTGCTGAGGCTTTTATGTCAGTGAACTCCTGAGACGCTAGAAGAGTTCCTTGAGGAAGACATCATTGCTCTCTGCAGTTCACAGATGCAGCCTGGAGAGGTTTAGTAACTTTCTGAAGATTTCTCAGCTGTAAGCAGCAGAGTGTGATTTGAGTCACCTGGGCAGTTAAGCGCCAGATCACAGGCCTGTAACCCTTGACTTGTGCTTTGAAGGCTGAGCTGGTTGAAGGAAAACAAAACAAAGCAAAACCAACAACAGAACCCCTCAAAAGTTAACTTACTAGAGGAGACTATTGCTAGTAATGTTTGAGACAGTGAATGAGGGCACAAGCAGGAGAACCAGCAGCAGATGGCAGAGCCTGTGGCAACATCAGCATGTGAGATGGTGCCGGGGAGATATCACACTCCTCCTTTTGCTCCTGGAGAAGAAGGAGGGAAGAGCATGTCTCATCTGTGCCTCGACTGCCTGATTCTGAGGGACTTGGGAGGACCAGGTGGCGGAGGCTCCTTGGGGGTGATGCACACATGGCCTTTTCAGCTGTCTTCATTGCCTGCCATGGTCATGGCATATAGTGAGAGCTCTATAATACTGTACTAAACAGAGTGCCTGTCTGTTGAATGGACTCAGTTGTTTACTGAAGTACATATAGGATGCTAAGGGGGAGTTCTGGAACCGCAGATTGGGAGTATGTTGAACAGACCACCACAGCTACATCCTAAGTATAGCTCAGAGCTTCAGGGTGGAAAGAAATAGATGTTTAATAAGAGGAAACATGGGCTTGGTAGGGTGGTCAGGCTCCCTTCTGGCACCCAGTTTTCAGGGGAAGCGGAACTCAATGAGCACATTCCCTGGCATCTTCTCAGTGTCCAGCCTAAAGCTTCTTTTTTCCTTCGCCAGTGGCTTCTCCTGCCCTATAACAGAGGAGTTGATTACTGTAGGGATGAGCCAGAAAGATGCGAGGCTGAGGCAGATATGTTTCTTATGTGGTCTTTGCTTACCCAGATTGTTTTCCTTCTTTCTTGATTGCAGGGTGACTTTTGTGGCATAGTCATTGCTGTTTTTCTATGGATAGTACTTGTTCTTCGTCACCCCAAGCCTGGGCCTCAATTGCAGAAATGAATGAGGCAGTGCCTACGATTACAGAGCTGGCTGGTCCCGTGTAAGGTAGACGTGTGGTGTGATCTTGGGTGAGGTAGGTATGGCCATGTGTTGTCAGGAGACAGATCGAAGTGCCAAGGTGGAAGTATGCCACAGGGCCTGGAGCCAAGTCTTCCATGAGTTCTGTAGAGGCTGACCCTCAGCCATAGCTTCTTCCGTCTTTCTTTGGAACTATAGGGATGGTGTTCAGAATTTCTTTTGTAAACTCCATCCTTCTTGAAGCCCCAAGACATCAGGAGAGGTAGATCTGTTCTCACCAAGGATTTTGAAGATCAAATGCTAGCCTTATCTAAGATAGATCTAAGACTCTTGCTTCTTTTAAATAAATTTCTTTAGATTAGACACATCTCCAGAGATTTTTCCATTCTATTATAGCA